ACAATCTCCCCTTATGTTGTTGGACCCCCACCGATATATCCAAAATCGCTAAAAAATTGGTACTCCCTTCGCAGTAGATGCCCTTACTACTTCAAAATCCCAACTTATATATGCCCGAGTATGTGTTCAAGTTGACTCCTCTGCATCTTATCCTGAAACCATTCCCATTTCTATTGTGGGAAAGACATTTGACCTTAAAATTTAGTATGACTGGAGACCCACTCTCTTTTCTATATGTAAATCCCTAAATCATACCACTTCTTGCCCATCTAACCCAATTCCAACTATCCAACTAGCTCCTATGTCTAGGAGAGGCAGAAGCTTAAGCCACAGACCGAGACCCCCATCCCAAAGTCCTAAGGGGATCCTTCCTCTACCAAAAGCTACCCCCAAAGTCAGTAGCATGAACAACCAATTCTCCTCTCTCAACGACTCTGCTATTCACCCAGTTGAACAAGGCCCTACTCCCAACACCCCAGTTACACCAAAATCTAAAGGACTTACAAACAACTCTATTCTTATCCCCAACCTAAAACTCCCCTAACGTGGAGTTCTCCTCCTCAGACACCATTCCTCCCCCCGTTAAACCAGCTCTCTCTAAAGTCATATCTCCTAATAAATTCAGCATTCTTCTTGAATCTCCCAACTCTGAAGCTTCATCTTATCAGGAATCAGAAGACCATCCTGCTAATAACCCTCACACCTCTCCTATATACTCCATCCCATCTAACCACACTAAGACCACCTCCACCATAACCAAACCAGCTGACCCTCCTAGCAGGACATAGCAAAACTAGAGGCAAGGGCTCCAGGAAAGGCCCGAACTCAACTCATAAAATTTTATGATCATTCCAACCATTACTGCCTAGAATATCAAGATTTAATAACCCTGATAAGTTTTACTGCTGTAAAAACTGGTCAGAGACGAGAACATTGACATTATATGCCTCCTGGAGAAGCGAATTCTACACTCCAACCTTTTATTCCACCCACAGAATCTTTGAGCAAGAACAAAGCTTCAATAACTTTGAAGTGGCATCCCCTAGTCGTATTTGGATCAAATGGAATTATGCAAATCTCTTTTTCTCCCCCACTTTTTCCTCCAGTTAGATGATCACGAGTGTCCTTAAGGCCGACCATATCCTACATTTACTTCTCTCTACTATTGTTTATGCCTCAAATTCTTTTGAGGATAGATCTTCTCTTTGGGAAGATCATAAAAGGATGAGCCCTACTGACTCCATGCCTTGGGTGGTCATGGGAGACTTTATTTGTTGTTGATTTCAAACTGAAAAAAAAAGGAGGGAATGTGATCCCTGCTTCTAGGCTTGTCCCCTTCAACAATTTCATCTTCGAGACAAACCTACTGGAACTCCCATCATCTGGCAATTTTCATACTTGGTTTAACCAGAGAACTGACAATCCGAATCATTTGAGACTTGATCGTGTGTTAGTTAATGAAGCTTGGGTTAATTCTTTCCCCAACTTCGCTTACAAGGTGCTCAATAGTTTAATTTCTGATCATTCCCGGTTATCCTCAGAGCCGATATTGATTTTAGACGAATTCTGAGATTCATGTTTAAAAACTACTGGAGCAAATTCCCGAAATTTTGGGACATCCTTATATCGATTTTTGCAACCCCATCTCAAGGCAACCCTATCATCTATTTTTCTAAGAAAAATTGAAGCTGTTGAAAACAACGATAAAATCAAAAAGTGGGAATCTTCGAACCTTATTGATGCTAAGTGTGAAAATCTGGCCTTACAACAAAAGGAATGTCAATTGAAAATGGATTTAGACCCTCTAAACAGTGAGCTTTGTAGTAGATTTAGCAGTTAAGTTCTGAACTTTCCTTTTACAACTCTACATGGGCCTCCTGGAGGACCTGGACTATCAGAGGTCAAAAGTTAAATGCTTGATGAAGGGGGAAGAAGACTTAAAATTCTTGTACTCCAAGCTTCACAAAAGGAAAAGTTTCAATAAAAGTGCACGCAATGCTCCTATCCTTGGGACAGACCACAACCAAAGTGCAAATATTCATGGCATAATTAATCACTTTAGGGACCTCTTCAATTCTCCATCCCCAGCCAACATGGATATCAATATATTTCCTAGGGGCAGGTTATCCCTCCTACAGATATCAAGACCCTCATTATGCCAATCACCAATGTTGAAATCTAAGCAACTGTCTTTTCGGGTTGCTCCATCTCCTATCCTAGTCCTGATGGCTTCAATTTCGATTTCTATAAGCAAACCTATAGCATTACGGGGAATACGATTTGCAATGTTGTGAGATCATTCTTTAACAAAGCTATCTCCCAAAATGTGTCAAAGCCATATCCATCTCTCTCATTCCCAAAAAGCCTCATGTGGAGAACATTCAAGACTTCACACCCATTGCGCTCTGCAATGCCTTTTACAAAATCATTGCTAAGATGCTTGCAAACCATATGAAGTTAATTATGCCTAGCATAATCCATCAGAGCCAAGTTGCTTTTATTGCAAATAGAATTTCTACTAATAACACCATCTTGGTTGCGGAAATTCTAAGTTTTTTTCAAGAAAAACAATAGAAATAAGTAGCTTTGCGCTAAATTCGATATCATAAAAGCTTTTGACACAATGTCTAGGGAGTTTCTCTTTGCAAGAATGGCTCAAAAGGGTTTCCCTACCCCTTTTATCAACTAGATAAAAGCTTGTATCAATGAAGTTAACTTCTCTATTAGCATCGAAGGGGGCTCTGGAAGGTTTTTTCCCTTCCTCATCCGATATCAGGCAAGGCTGCCCTTTAAGTTTTTTGCATCATCATGGATGCATTCTCATGCTTGTAGATTATACTACCTCTACTGAAACTTTTGAAGGCTTCAATTATGAGAAATTTCAGCTATCGCACCTATCCTATGCGGATGATTTGCTGGTAATTGACAAGATTGACATTGAAGATTGCAACTATCACATGAGAATTCTTAACACCTTTCCAAACAGCGTTGGTTTGCATCTTAACCTACATAAGAGCTCTCTTTTCATCTCTCCGAGCACACCCCTCTCTTCGAAAATCTCTCTTTTACTCTATATCCCTAAAATTTCTAATAAAATATTCTATCTTGGCCTACCCATCTCCTTGGGTAGAATCAAACCCTCTGATTATAATCCTTTGGTTGATAAAATTACTAATCAACGCGGTTGGAAGGCCAGATTACTCTCTTTAAGCAAGACGCAATTTATCAAGTTTACTATTACTAATATGGTGGCGTACTAAATTTGAGGCTCTACAATTCCTAAATCTATCACTAAGGCTATTGGGAAGTTATGCTCCAAATTTATTTACTATGTCGGTTCCCAACTCAGACATTTACATCTCATCTCGTCGGTTAATACTTGTAAGCCCCTCTCTAAGGGCAGCCTAAGTATTGCTTCTCTCCAAGCTTTAAAATTTGCCTTAAATTGTGGTATTATCAATAAATGTTACAACCTCTCATCTCATCTCACCAACTGGTTGAAAACTAGATACACATCCCCTTGGAAGCCCATCCAACCTAATGTTATTGCCTTTTGGAAGAGTATCAGTAGTACTGCCATACTAGCTAGAAATAACTTTATTTTCCACATCAATCCTAATAGTCCGGCTGCTGCTACCTGGGATCATTAGTGCATGGGAGACTTGATTACTTCTAAATTCTGGGATTTCCCTATTACCATGGTTTGCAGTTCAAATGCTAGACTTGCAGATTGGATTTCTTCCAACACCTGGGCCATTCCTACCTCAGTTAATACGCATATGAGAGAAATCATACCAAATATTCCTATATCCTCCAACAACACCGCACATATTCATTGGAAAAACTTAGAGCAAGCCACATTTAAAGACTATTATTATGAATTCTTTGCTCATGATGACACATTAGGTCGGCATCCTCTGATTTCGCACAAAAAACATTCTCTTCGTTTCTCTGTGTACTCCCGGTTGGCTTCTAGGGGAGGTTTAAAAATTATTGATGAACTGGCTAAAAGGAACATTCAAATTCAAGATAAAAACTGCATCTTTTGTCGTGCCTACACTGAAACTTTATCCCATCTGATGTTCAAATGCGAATTTTCTTTTACTGTGTTGAAAAGGCTTATTCCTTTGTTTCAGAACTTTTACCTTAGGCCTACTGTTGTCTAAGCTTTCTATCACGTTGGAGGATTACCTGAACTCCAAAACATTAAATGTGGCATTCTTCTCTCCCTTAATGCTATTGTTTATTACTTGTGGATCGAACGGAACAACAGGATATTTAACTTCAACAAAATGTGTGCGACCACTCTTACTAAAAAGATTGCTAGAGCAATTAATTTAAAGTTATCTAGTTGGAAAAATGGAGAATATGTGAAAGAAAGGATAAAGCTGAGCAATGCTATCTAGGCCAGATCATTTTGGTTGTTTACTGGGGGCTATATACTGGAATTTATTTCATGGGAAGCTCATTTTCAGTTGTTTTTCTGGAGGTTGGTTTTGGTAAATGGGAGCTCTTCGGGAAGCCCTCTCATTTCTGCTATATTGCTGTTATTTCGTGGTTTCTATATGCCTTCTCGTCAGTTTTTAACAGCATGTTGTCTCTCTGACACTTTTTGGAAGGCACAATTTTGAGCCTGGACAATGATGAAGCCTGCCCTATCCTCCCTTTGGAAGATCTACGGGCAACCAAGGGAGTATCTGACTAGCAATTTATGATATATGCATGTATTTTAGAGTTCAGGCCGACAGGCTCTCCTGTCAATTTTGTTTTTTGCGCCAGATAGATCTTCCTCTGTTTTTGTTTTTATCTGTTTCAATAATTTGCCGTTTCTTATAGGCTTCTTTACTTTTACACTTTTACCTTTGTTATTATAAATAGATCCGGCTGAGCCCTCAATTTTCCCAAAAAAAAAAAATTTCCACGCATAAAAAAGATGCATAACGTAAGAAAAATTGTTCTACATGCTGAAAATGCATCGAAGCTGTAAGTTTGAGATTTACCCAGAAGAGAAGCGGAGAAGGCTAGCGGAAGCGGGAGGGAGGCTTGGATCCAAGGTGAGAGTCACTCCTACGATGTTAGCCGCGGCGATGACTGAGAGAGGAGGGCTCTCCGCGGAGAAAGACAACACAATCTCCCCCATCCTCGCTGAAAAGAAAGCAGTTTGTAAGAATAAGGGGCTGTTTGGCAACAGGATTTATGCAGGATTTATTCTAAATCCTGCCAAACGGGATTTTTGAGCGCCCGTAAATCCCACGGAGGAATAAATTCTCCGTTTCCCTCTTTTTGCCGTAAATCAAGGATTTACTAAGGGGGTGTTTGGTATCGGATTTGTCTTCACTTTTAAGTAGGATTTAACCGAAATCCAGCCAAACACCATTTCGCGGCGACTCCCTAAATCCGGGATTTACGGATTTACGGCATAAATCCGGGTAAATCCTAATCACATCCTTTCCCGGATTTAACAAGATTGACGGGATTTGGCCGGAGAAGAGAGCGAAAGGGAGAAAGTTACCTTTTAATAAAATAATTAGTAATTGATATCTTTTTCTTAATCATAAAGTCTTCACATTTACGTCTAGCAATGTTGTCTTTCAAAAGCAAATCGGAACAAACAACACCTACAAGATATTCGATTTGTTTTTGAAAGACCTTCTGATCAAAATCGCAAAGATTATCGTACACGATTAAATGCAAGCGTTAATTGTGTACGTTTTCTTTTGCAACAAGGATTAGCATTCTGTGGGCGTGATGAATCTGAAGATTCAGAAAATCAAGGGAACTTTCTAGAGCTTTTGCATTTTTTTGCTAGAAATAATGAAGATATAAATAAAGTTGAATTGGAAAATGCTCCCCGAAATAATAAATTAGTAGCTCCAAAGATACATAAAGAAATCACAGAAGCTGTAGCAATCGAGGTTTCAAATGTTATAATAATGAATTAAGAAATTATATATTTTTTTTTCAATTTTACTTGATGAATCTCGTGATATATCAGTTAAAGAACAAGTTGTTGTTGCATTATGTTATGTTGATACACACGGATGTATTCTTGAGCGTTTTATTGGGATTGTTCATGTTGAAGACACGTCAGCTCTAACACTAAAGTTGGCTATTGAATTACTTTTCTCAAAGTATGGGTTGAGTATGGCACAACTATGTGATCAAGGTTATGATGGAGCAAGTAACATGTGAGGTGAGTTTAATGGATTGAAAACATTAATCATGAAAGAAAATTGTTCAGCTTATTATGTGCATTGTTTTGCACACCAACTTCAATTAGCATTTGTTACAGTTGTAAAAAATCATGTCAAAGTTGCTTCATTCTTTAATAATGTGACTTTTTTGTTAAAGATTATTTATAGTTCAAGTAAAAAAAGAGATATGCTAAGGGGAAAGTATTATGACAAAATACTTGAGCAACTAGAAAGTTGAGGAGTTGCCAAAGTTAGAGGTTTAAATCAAAAAATTGTTCTTCAAAGATCAGAAGATACTCGTTGGGGTTCTCATTACAATTCACTTATCAATTTAATTCTTTTGTATGGATCTATAATAGAAGTTCTTGAAATATTAATACATGAGGAATCTAGCAATGAGTAAAAAGATGAAGCATATCCCCTACTTGAATCCATGCAAACTTTTGATTTTGTTTTAAATTTGTATAGGATGAAGACTATATTAGGAGTTACAAATGAGTTATCCCAAGTACTACAAAAGAATGATCAAGACATTATAAATGTCATGACTTTGGTCAGAGTTTCAAAACAAAGAGTTCAAAATATGAGAAATGATGGATAAGATAATTTATTTAAGGAACTTGGATTATTTTGTGAGAAGAATAACATAAGTATTTCAAACATGACTGATACATTTCTGATGCAAGGAAGATCAAGACGCCGTACTAACAAATATGTATTATTATCAAATCGAATTATTTTATACTGTTATAGATATGCAATTTTAAGAGCTCAACAAAGGGTTTGATGAAATTAATACATGATTACTTATGTGTGTGGCATGTTTGAATTCATATCAATCATTTTTAGCTTTCGATACAGAACGATTGCTACGTCTTGCAAAATTTTATCCGTCAGATATTTCAGAAATGAATCTCATTATATTAAACAATCAAATCGAGAATTTCATTGTTGATATGAAATCGAATAATGCATTTATGAATTTAAAAGGACTTGAAAATTTTGCTCAAAAAATGGTCATGGAGACTAAGAAGAATGATATTTATCCTTTGGTGTTCTTACTTATAAAGCTTGCTCTGATATTGTCAATTGCTACATCAACAGTTGAACGAGCATTTTCTGCAATGAACATTATAAAGAATCGTTTACGCAATCGTGTGAGAGACTCTTGGATGAATGATTGTTTACTTACTTATAATGAAAAAGATATTTTTAATGGTATTGACAATGACTTGATTGTACAACGATTTTAAAAAATGAAGACTCGACGGGAGAAATTATAAATGACATATAAGAATAATCTCAAGATTAGTGTTCTCAATTATAATTTTTTTTTTTTTTGCTTTATCATATATTTTATGTTTTTATAATGAATCTAAGGATTTAAACAAATAAAAAAATGCCATTGTTCGTCCCAAGCCCGGATGAAAAAGTTTGAGGATTTTTTTCACTTCAATGAATTGTGCCCCACATGAAAAAAATCTTGGCTCCGCCCCTGATCTTAGGCTATGTTTGAGATAGCTTTCTTACTACTTTCTAAAGCATTTTTTCTTTTTTTTTTTCTAAAATGATGTTTTAAAGCAATACGAAAGTTATCCCAAATGAAGTATTATTTATATCTTTATTAGTGCATGTTACTTAAATTCCATATAAATAAAAGATCTTCATAAAAATATGAGAAGAAATTTTAATTCATCTGCGTAACAAATGTTACATAAGCTATTTGTTGAATATTATATAACTACAAACACAAATAAATAACTTGCTAATATTGCTTTATATGTGAGATGATTTTTGGCTTCCTTTAATAACATCCTTTTATGTTACATTACATGCCAAAAATATTGATGCTAGCTATCAAACATTAGGTCAGTTGACAATGTCTCTATTAGGAATTTGGTTTAGTCAACTCAAGGGCTATGCGCATCTTATTGCGTTATAAATTTAATTAGGAGAATTTTTTTAGGATCTATGATGGTCACAAATAAACTAATCAAGAGATAGGCCTAATCCCTAAGTCCCTCAAGATAGGAGAAATTATTCTGTGCGGACATCAGACCGTTCGGAGTCGAATCAGAGGGCGCCACATCACCTGGTACTCATCAGGTACATAACAAAGGGTGATGTGACGCGCTCTGATTTGCCTCTAGACGACTATATCCACACAAAATATTTCACCCATGATAGTGACTCTCATCATTTTTTATAATTTTAAAGTTTTGAAGCAATACAATATGAATGAACACTCTCTTATTATATAAATTTTCTGACATAATGAAAAAAAAATTTCCTATAATTTTTATCCGTAATTTTTTTTAATATATAAAAGGATATGATTTTTACTTATATATTATTATTATTATTACATATTCTTGTACATGTAGATATCAAACAATCAAAATTTAGAGATCTTAGCCCAAGTGCTCCAGCAGTAGAACTCCTTATTTTGCTGGTGATTCTGACATAAAGCAAAGGTAATCTGCATCATGAAATTTCGTGCAAATCAGACGAGTTACTGTCATAGCTGCCCACATTCAATGCGTTGATCCTTTTAGTCTTTCTGGGAGATTTGTTTTTACTTTTTTGCTTGAATGTTTACCAATCATGTGTTTAATCCTTTAAAAAGAAACATGCAATGTGATTTGCTAATCTTGTCAATCATCAACATCCTCCTCAGGCTCATAGCTGCAACCGATGAAATTATTACATGCGATCATCAGATATGATCTGAAGTCCAATTAAGACGTACCATATCACCATTTTACTATGTATCATTTTTTTGGGAAAAATTTGGGGCTAAGCCCATTTTATAAATGACAAAAAGGTTACAAATTTTGGGGCTAAGCCCACTTGGAAACCTTTAGCCTTGTAGCATACTTCAAGAATTAATCACAGCTGAAGGATTAGCCCAATTTCCATTAAACTTTCGATTATTTTCTTTCTCTCCATAAGTGATAGACAATGCAACAAATTAATAAATAACAAAATTGTTTTTCCCCTTTATTAAAAAATGGTAAGTTGTCAAAATAATCCAATAGTTGGAATATTGTCGATCTCATTAAAAATGAACCGGTTATCAGAAATAAATTTTTAATGACTAGAAAAGAATAGTCACCTTCAAAAAAGAGGTGCTTGCGATTTTTTTGAACAGCTTGGCAAAAATTGCAAAGAGAGGGTATATCTAAAGTTTTCTCAAATAAGAGATCAGCTGTTTTCAGCCTTTCAATACTTGCCATCCAAGCATGCCAAGAAAATCTTAGAGCATAATATTTGTGCCAAATAAATTTATGCCAGATAACAGACTCCACATGAGAATAAAGATGCAAATAAAATATTATGTGCCTATGATTTACTTATAGTGTAATATTGTGTATCAGATAATGTGGCACGTCCTGATTGTCCTTCAGACGGTTTGGTGATTGTACGCAAAAATCTTTCATGCAATAGAGCACATATATGTAGGATAAAAAAGATCCGACAGTATCCTTAAAATTCAAATGATTTCGTTTTGATTGTTGAAATAGCATATGAGATTATCTGATTTTCTTCCCTTCTTTTTCAGTTTAGTCTGTATTAATTTCTCTTGAAGATTAAGCTAATGGTTGGGGCTATTACAGGTAAGGGACAAAGGAACCGTTGATCTTAATAAAAAAAATTTCTTATGTTTAGCTAAAAATGATTGAAGAAACAGAAGGGTATATTTGATGGTAATGATACTGTTTTCTGTAGCTCAAATCGATTAAAGAAGCTAATATCTATGGTTGTTCTCTTTGTGCTTCTGATCTGTATCAGTTGATGTCAGAGATTTGCAGAACAGCATAAAATCCTCAAAGTTGCCTCTGTCGAAGTATAATTGGTTGATCAATGTCTTAGTCATGAGATGGATGTTTGGTTGTCATTGCAGATAATGTCTTCTTGCAAACTAGCAATAAAACTATGAAAATAATGTCAGAATATCTGATGCTTTTATTATTTTGTATATTATGACTTTTCTTTCCTCTGAAATTTGGATAAATTTGATGCTTAGATATTCCTTATAAGAAAAAAAAATAATTTTTGCTGTTGCATTTTATTTTTATTTAAATGTCCTAAATTTAAACAAATATATCATTTTTTAGTTTATGTTTTTTCTTAATAAAAAGCTAATGAGTTCGGCTCATTAATATGTGTCAACTAGGCTTAATGAGTCCACGAGCCGATATTGGGTTTGAGTTGTTTTTGACTCAGCTTGTATGTCCACTCATTGACCGAACACATTTACATTTATATATATTGAAGTTTTTCTTAATAAAAGAATAAACTTTTTAAATAATCTCCTCTAGCTAATTGTGGATCTCGTCAAGTTACTCTTCAAGTTTCAGTACGCTAATGAGCTCACTCTTTTTTAGGCTTCATTTGAGATAAATTTCTTACTGCTTTCTACCGTTGTTTTTTAGCACATAAATTTTTTAAAACAACGAAAAAGAGGTGGCCAAAAGCTGTCTCAATACTAATATGATCAAAGGAAAATTTGTTTAGTGGTGCATCGAGTTAAATGTAACTTGAGCTGAGCTCAAACTTCTAAGGTTTCGTTTGAAAAAATTTTCTTACTGTTATCAACAACTTCTTAGCATACAAATTTTTTGGAAGTAATGAAAAAACAGTTGTCAAAAGCTGGAATAGGTTCGGACACCTGACGTAGTTCTACATTCGGACGCCAATAACATGTCGCCGCGTGCTCTTACTCTTTACCTCGCGGCCCGACGACCCGGGTATTGGCTGATTTGTATATTGCTAGGTATTGCTCGTTACTGGTCTTGAATGAGCGGTATTTTTCATTATTGTCGAGCAATACATAGCAATACCGAACAATATCTAGCAATACCGAGCAATATCTAGCAATTCCCAAACATAGCAATACCGGGTTCCGGTCTGGGTCGGGTCGTCGGGCCGCGTGGTAAAAAGTAAGAACACGTGGCGACATATTATTGATGTCCGAATATAGAGCTACGTCAGGCGTCCGGACCTAATAATTATTCGCAAGCTGTCCCAATACTAGTACGTGTAAAGGAAAATTGATTTAATGTTCACGACTTAAATGCCACTAGAGCTGAGCTTGCATTGTTTTGCATTTCTGGCTGTACCCTAATTTAATAATTTTAATTAATTGTAAGGTAATAAAAAAAAAAGAAAATAAGATAGGTAAGGTAATCAAACTCTTCTCAACGGTATTTAAACAACTCTTTCATGCTATAGCAGTCGTACCCTTAATTGAAGAAGAGGGAAAAATACGTTGTATGTGATCTCCACATCAACTATAGGCATAAGAAATTGACAATGAAATTAGAACTTTGTTGATAGCTAGACAGTGTCGGAAAAATATTAGGATAATTAAAAATTTTAACAAAAATTTATATTAAAAATGCATAAAAATTATTTAATACATAAAATTATTTAAGAATATTCTAACATAATTTATATTAAAATGAGCCTAAGAGCTATTAATTGATTCTATGGATCAATTAGATTGTATTGTTGTCTTAGACCTAAATAAATAATGCCAGTCGAGCTCACAAGTGGACAACGCTCCCATTATTTGGGGCTCGGGGGCCTTACCCCTGATAAAAAATTCATATAAGCACTGTAATGCTATATGCTGGAGCGTTGCAGCACTACAGGCTCTGGTTGGAGACAGACTGAAGTGTTGCGGCGCTCCAAACCCCAATGCTTTGGCGCTTCGAGTCGATATGGAGATAAATAGTGTAGCATGTGCCGCTCCAAACCTCAGCGTTGTGGTGCTGTGAGTTAGACTATGCAGTTATATTTCTCTACACTCATAAAACTGAGCCTGGCAAATTTTTTTTGTTCTCATTCTCTCTTCTTTTCTCTCCATTATTCTCTCCATTTTCAACTCAAGACCTCTCCAATTGAATTTAACTTGGCGCACACAGAAATAATAAAATCTATAACAAATTTTAAACCTAACATCATCTATGAATTGTATGCCTATCTTAATAAAAATATTTAGTAAAGCCAAATAGAGCCCCACTGTCCACCAAGCTCAATGAGTCTTTGCCACGCCTGCAAAGGCACGGGAAGCTTTAGTCCATTACAATGGAGTTGGAGTTCTCCCATCTCTATCAATCTTCGTTGTCAAGAGAAGTCTACCTTATGACGTGTGCCTCTACATACAGAGAAAAGAAGCGAAATTTAATTCAGCCAAGCGGCCTTCTTAGCTGTGAGAATCTTCTGTGAAAGAGTAGGCATAGACCCTTCTCTATATATAAATATTTTTGATGACGATGAATCGTCCGCTGCCATTCTGACTTAGTCAGGGCGTTTGGAGGTCCGTAAACCCCGGTCAATCTAGACAAGCTACCCACGTCCGCTGCAGCCTGAGGGGATCGAACCCGATTTAGAGGTACCCAACTGTGCTCGCCCATCAGCCGAGGTAAGCATCGGTGGGTCCCCCCTCTATATTCCTTAACCATTTTTTTAAACACCCATCCACTCGTCTCAAGGACATTGACACATAATTTAATACTATTGTTGGTCCAGCTAAAATAGTGCTAACAGTAGAAGAAATAAGGATCAATAGATGGCGATTTGAGGACTTCTTTCTCTCTAGACTTGTCCATTATGAAATTAGAGATGTCACTCTCCTTGTACAAATTTACTGTATCATTTGAATTTGTCCATTTTCTTTTACTTCAATGAAAGAAAAAAGAGAAAAAAAAAAAAAAAAAAAAAAAAAAGAGAAAAAAAAAAAAAAACAGAAAGAAAGGAACCCGTCTGGCATAAACTGAACTAAATGATGAACACAAACTGTTACAGAGAGAGAGCGAGGGAGTTTGGGAGGGTGGTATTAGAAGAAACCAGTGGTTTAGTTAGTCCACTGAAGCAAATAAAAGTCGGCAAGCACAATAAAAGAGACAAGTGGAAAAGGTAGAGATAGTGAAACAAGCTTTATTCTTCAGTGATTTCCACCCATGGAGAAGAGGTGGACTAAGCTTGTCAATCTGCACAAACATTATCCAAAAGGTGAAGAAAGAAGCTTGAGCTTTCTCTGTGTCCTGAGGCCTATATCTATATGAGAAGAATATCTGACAGATTCTTACAAGAAGCAATCAAGCAATCAGTGAAAGCTCTATCAAAAAGAGTACCTTCAATAGCTGGTCATAATCTTTTTAACAAATTATGTCTCTCTGGCAGTCCTTTCCATAATTATCAGAAGCCTGCTGCTGCTGCTGTTGCTGTTGCTGATGATTCTGCAGCCAAATACCCAAACCATCAATCCCAAACTGTTCTTCTGCTTTCATTCCATTACACAGGTCAGGATTCTGGTTCTGAAGTTCTGTGGATAATGGAACTGAGCCATTAAGATATTCTGACCATTTGAGGTCATCAGTTTCTTCCTGGAGCTGGACATTTGTATCTTTCTCTGGAATCAGCTGGGTCCATTGAAAGATGCTTCCGTCGAACAGGGGATCATTGCTCCCACTGCTTGCGCTGCTGTTGCTTGAATTCCCTGTCTCCCAGTAGAATCCTGATGGAGAATTCTCCATTAGGAGAGAAGTTAGAGGCTTCGGCTCCTTCGAAGTTGAAACAGTGGATCTGGGAACAGACGGGAGTAAGCTAGATGCGGAATTAAAGCTGAACTCAGAGTTGGAGTTGTTGTTGCTAAAAATTTTGCCGCTTTGATTATACCAAAACTGCTGGATTTGGCCAATGTTACTTCCACAATCAGGGCTGTAAGTTAAATTTGGAAGAGAGAAGTAGCTGGCTGCTGAAGAATTGGCTGGCCTTACAGAATTATTTGGAATACCAGTCTCCGGTGGCTGCACAAGATGCTTCGCCGGTTCTGGTTCTGCAGCTGGTTGATCGGCGGAGTCGATTTCGGCGAGCTGTCCTTCGATTTCAGCGAACGGCTTGTGCGTGTTGGGGTCTATGCCTCTCTGCCTAAGCTTCTTCTTGATGCAGGAATTCCACAAGTTCTTTATCTCGTTATCAGTTCTTCCGGGCAATTGTGCTGCAATCTGAGACCACCTGACGAACAAAAATTCACCAAATGTGATCAATTTGCCAATTTGGATCCAATTATTGGAACCCTTGAAAAAAGATGGTCGTCGGCGGAAAAATTGAATCTTTTATCAAACCTGTTTCCTAAAATTCCGTGAAGCTCAATGATGAGGTTCTCCTCCTGCTGCGAGAAAGTTCCTCTCTTCAAATCAGGCCTCAGATAGTTAATCCACCGCAGCCTGCAGCTTTTCCCGCATCTCTGCAGGCCTGAAAGATACAATTTTCTTTATAGAATAAATCTTTATAAAATTCGCCTAAAGGGATGAAGGTATTTAATTACCTGCAAGCTTAGGCACTGAGCTCCAGCATCCATGGCCATACTTTGTGATATGCTTGAGGAGCTTCTCATCCTCCTCAGGAGACCACAAGCCCTTCCTCAACTTCTGCTTATAGCAGCAAGAGTGCCTCCCCATTCTCTGAAGAGAAACAAAGAAGCAGTAGCTTATGCTGAAGAGGAGAAGAGCAGGAGAGAAGAGAGATGGCTCGAGAGCTAAAAAGAAGATGAGAGGGTCACAGTCAACTATGGTTTCTTCCTTTCCTTCTCCTTTTCTAATGTGGTTAATTCTCTTTGCACATAAGTCTTATCAAAAGCTTTGAGAGAATGCAGAAACCATGGTGGGGCTAACATCACAAAGATAATTGAATGGAGGAAGAGAATTCAAAGGAGGAGGACAGTAGTAAAAGCTGGTAACATCTCTTTAATGGTAAGAAACAAACTGTAGTTGCTGTACTTTTAGTTTCAAAAAGCTATTGTGAGCTAAAAAACAGAGGTAGAAATGAGGGAAGTGCTTTCATTCAAGCAACTGCCATGAGTAGTAAAGAGTTTTTTTTTGGAAGAAGATAAAGAGGCCATAGGCGGCCTTAAGTAAGTACATTGGATTTCTGACAAGTTAATCTGTGTCAGATTGAGCTTGGAACTTTTTGCTTTGTAGAGGGAACTTTCTCATGAGAAATTATTACCTTGTAAAGTTTCGTTACTATGAGAGAAGAAAGAAGATGATGGGGGGAGGGGGTTGTATTTCTTCGATGGGAAGGGAAATATTTTATGTGGCTTCAGGGATTTCTACTGGATTTCCTACTGGGAATATCAACTGAGAGTTGGAATAAATAAGGGAGCATTTATTACAGGGAAGGGGAAAAAATAGCCTATAAATTAATATTCAAGTGCTATTTTGTTGGATAAGAAATAATGACCAAACGAGGTGAATTTATTATTTAGCCCTTGTTTTCTTAAAATTTGTCCCATTCAGCTGTACTTTATATTATATCGAGCAAGATTTATCATTTTACCCACCAATGCTTAGCTTGGTTGGTGGGTGAGTGCGGTTGGGAATCCCTCAACCCGTGTTCGATTCCCTCGCACGACAGCACTCCTCTAGGAGGGACCCAATAAGCGCGGGCCACGAGTATTAATAAATGTGGGTTGCTCGTCTACGTCAGCCGAGGAAACTAGTGGACATCGCCAAGCGCGTCACAAGCTGATGTGGCGACGGGCCGATACTCCCCATTCTCAAAAAAAAAAAAAAGATTTATCACTTTTCATTCTACTGATGTCTTGTTGTTGTCCCGAAGTGTTGGGCTGTAAATGAACTGAGTGTTTGATAAGTACTCAGAGTTTGGTTTGATAAAAACTTGTTTGTGATCATTTAATTAAATAAGCTTGAACATTTTCTTAAATACTTTATGATTTAATAAATAAGCTTGAACAACTATGAGTTTGACTCATTATATTCATTAACAGTGTCTGAAGCTCGTGAACATGCTCAATAAGAAACTCAATTCTTGATTTTTTTTAGATAAGAAGCATAATAATTAAAATAAAATATTCGTGTGCAGGCTCATTTGGTAGTTTAAAATAATCCCTAAAAATGTTTGTGAACATACTTGTTAGTATGCTCGATATAGCTCATTCGTAAAGCCAATAAACATTTAGAAGTAGATCTCGTTTATAGCTTGATAAGACTCGTTTGTTTAAACCTTGATAAATATAAAATAAACATAACATGAACTAAACACAAATCAAACATTAACATCCATTAACTTAAACGAACCAAATGTGAACACGAACATAAAAGCTCAAAGTGAACTCAAATGAACATGAACAAGCTGAAAATAAACGAACACAAACATGAACCAATAGATACTCAACTAGGCTCGGTTTGTTACAGCCCTGGCAAAGCGGGCGATATCTAAATAAAAGATTATCTCCTAGAAATTTATATAATTAACATGAATTTTGTATTATTTGTTTATCTCAAAGCACTTCAATTTTCAAACAAAAATTTTTTTTAATCAATTTTGGGATTATTTGCATTGTTTTTTAACCGTAGGAACTTCATTCTTATGAGACAAATCCGATGAGCTCAATATCCCTAAATTATGATATCATTAAGGAGCTCAAATGCTAAGAAATTATCAAATGTTTAAAGGGGGTTATTCTAGGCCATTTGATGAAATGTTAACATTTTGGTAAAACTAATCAAAAATATATAAATATGCCTTCATTTCACACATGAAGGGGAGAATATTTGGGTGGAAAGAGTTCAAACCTATCAATACATAGATTGTAGAGCTCTATATGTTGATCAACACCTATGGTCGCTCTTGTCCAATTGTGGACAATTAATATTGATGATGCCACAACTTTTTATGTTTTTGTTGATTAGTGTCTATTATGAGTGTAAGTGACCCGAGTCAACTCAAATTTGACTCGTTAACAAGTTCAAGAGCCAAGATTCAATTCATGAGTTCAATCTAAAAATTGAGCTCATATATTAAATGAGCTCAAGTTCAAACTCGATAAGGCTCGGTTGAGCTCGCTCGTATGTCCAACAATTTACCTAATGTGTTGGTTAATGAAATAGTTGTTAGGAGTCTTTCATTAATAGGACAATAGGGAGAGTAATTAATATGAGCACTTATGTCTTTTATTAGAGGTCTGCATGCTTAAAACTATCAAATTTGAAAAACTATATTAATTGTGAATTTAAGATGCAAATCTTAAGAAAAAAAAGAGGGTTGGAAGTCATGGATGATCATGTTGACACCTGCGAATGATCACATCGATGTCTTTCTACAGTGGAGGATCACATCAACATCATCTTCTTGTCCGACATAGTATCACATCGATGCCATCTTCTCTAAGGTAGGAGTATGTCGATGCCTTCTTCTTCATAGAGCGGAAATGCTTTGGTTCAACATCACAAGCTAACTCACGAGCTTACTATTATTGCCTCAAGTCGAGCTTGATTTGAGTTCGCAATTTGGTCAGTGAGTCAAGCTCGAGTTTTTCAACTCAAGCTCAGCTCGATTTGGTTACGCCCCTATTGTCAACTATTGTAAACCAATGCTAATATTTGTCATCAGCCTCCACCAGCCAATGTTGATATTCATTATCTCCCTCCATTAACAAAAGTATACATTTGTCATCACCTGATCGTTATTGTGACCCGTTGTGTAACACCTAGATGCATTTATTATCATCCAACTAATTTCACTTTTTGTCAACTAGCATCGAAATTCATTTTTCAGGTAGCCACTATCGCCCCTGTTGTGAATCAATGTCGACACCTGACATTATTAGATGATTTCCTTCATCAGTTATTGATCGACGTCAACATCAATCATAACATGATCACCATCGTCTATCTCCAGCTAACATTGGCATCCGTCATCACTTGACTAACTTTGTTGAAATTTAACCCACAACAATGATCCTTTTTCTTTGTCTTTCTTCTAACATTCTCAACAACTCTTTCAAAAGATTAAACCGACACTCCATGCTTTATTATTCCCTCTTCTTAAGTTGAAGAGAATATTATATTTTTTGTTTGGAGTTTTGTGTTTAATGGCTTTAATGAATTAGTTTGAAAACAAATAGAAAATGACAAAGCAAGCATTATGTGTGAATTAGTTGTATTTAATTGCAATGTGAAAGCATCAACTAGTTTTAACTCATTTAGATTTCATTGTTTGGATGAAAAGATTGCTTTCATTTCCTGTTCTGAAATTAATTTCCATTTTCCAGTAAAATAAGATATAAATGGAAGTTAAGAATCACATTCCAAAACCAAGCAAAGTGATAAAAGAAATAAGTGCAAAATGATAAATACTAATGAAAGTCTCATATATGGAACTTATTAAAACCAGTCAGTCCCCACTAATAATGACCATAAATAATGCCTATATTTGCATTTTACCACTGTTTAATTATTTAACTTCTTTAATTTGAAACATGCATCCATTTTTATATTTTCAAAGCTCCAAATAAGGGCGTAAACGAGTCGAGTCGAGTTTGAGTCGCTCTTGACTTGAGTTTCAACTTAATTAATTTATCGATTTTGAGCTTGAGATTGAGCTTAATTTTACGAGTTAGAGCCAACTCATTTATTATGAATGAGAGAAAATGATTAAGATTCAAACAAATATTATAATAGAATAGTAGCTCAACGGGCTTAGTTGGGTTGGTGGGCAAACATGATTGGGAACCCCTCAAACTCATGTTCGAATCCCCTCTCATGTGGAGTGACCCCTTAAGTGGGGAGAAAATAACTGCAGGTCCTGCATCTATGGGGCTGTTTGCTGGTAGGCTTATCGAGTGATTAGTTACATCGTCAAGCGCCTCCTAAGGGGTGGCAGTCGATATATACCCCCATTTCCACACAAAAAAAAGCAAAAATATTGAAGAAAAAAATAAAAAAAATAAATCACTTATCATAAGAGAGTGAGTTTAAATAATTTTAACAACTTTATAATTAAAATCTTAAATGCTAATATATTTTAAGTGAATTGTATATTAATATTATTTAAACGAACTGACTCGCGAGCTACTGAGTCGTGTCAGGCTAGTTCAAACCTGGGCCACGAGCCATTTTCAAGACGAGCTAAAGCCGGCTCACGAGTCACCCCCTAGCTTCAGAGGTCAATTAAGAGAATAATATCATCAATTATTTAATTTACAAGGTACATAAAAAACTAGTGAACTTAATTTGGGTACAAAGAATGAGAAATAAAAATAGTTTGGAAGAGAACATTATTTAATCTCATCAATTATTAAGGAAGAGTAGTGTCATGATTGAATTCATTCATGTGATGCCTCTTGTAATATGGAATTAAAGAAAATGAAGGGTAGGGATTTTATAATTCCAGAGATATTCTGACCATCTGTTTTGTGTGATTTTTATTCACTTGGGCCCCTTTTAATCTTTTTTTTTTTTGTAAACACGGCTTTCCTCTCAGTCCTTTTTTTTAGCTTTCATCTCTTCAAATCCTGGCTGTTTCCAGCTTTTGTGGGGAGCCCATTTGCAATAAAATTGCCGATAAAGAAGGACAAAATAAAGAATTGGGGGGTATTACATTCCAAGTTTAAGAAATTGTAAATCCAGAAACTGTAAATGTAAGGAAATATTTCTATATATAATTTTTTTTTTAAGTTCAGGCTGAATAGCTTTCGTCATTAATTGCAATAAAATGCCTTTTAATTTTGTGTATTCTGCTTTTGCAATTTTGGAAATAGTTTGTGTTTTCATGCAAATATGGTCCGGGCCCGAAGGCGTCCATCTAGCGGCCCGCTGTTGCGGTGAGGGTGAAGGAAAAGTCAAATGTAGATCCAAAGCATAATGATGCAGAGTGGAAAATATAGAGAGCGGTTGCGACAAACAGGAGAAATTGAGAAAGTCGGGGGTTGACCTGGGTATGGGCTGGATGACCCGAGCCCAAGTCTAAGCGATTCCATTTTGGGTCCAGGGTGGGTCGGGCCAGCTGATCCGATTTGGGTCTAAATACTTTCATTTTGGGTCTGTTTTGATTAGAGATCTTCGTTTAGTCCGATCTCTGCAGAAAAAAAAAAAAAAAAAAAAAAAAAAAAAAGCTAACGCTAAAAAAAAAAAAAAAACAGAAAATAAAAGCTAACGCTGTATATTGTTGAATTGGCACTTTGGATAAAGCTTATGTGTTTGATTCGATTTAGTCTACTCTTAATCTTATCAAACAGACTTAGACTTCGTTTGGAACGGCTTTCTTCCTGCTTCTTAAAGCAGCTTTTTAGTACAAAAAACTGCTTTTAGAATCGGTAAAAAAAGCTATCACAAACGAAGCCTTAGTATTATTTGGAATAGCTTTTTAATTGTTTTGCTTTTCTGATCCTAATTTCTATTTGAATAATATTTTTTTGCTACTTTTAAAAAAAATTT